TAAATTTTTAATTTGTTTTCAAAAACACGTTTTCGAAAATAGGAAAGAAAACACGTTTTCACTGTTTGAAAAATCGAAAACAGAAAACAGTTTGAAAATGATAAAGAGAACATAGCCTAATTTTTTGGAGAATATAAGATTATAAAGTAGAGAAATATTATGATTTTATAGACAATATTATTTTATTTATTTAAAAATATATGTAACCAAGCGTGACAAAACAAGAATCACATCACCCCCACCAAAATATTTACATCAAATCAGTTGTAGTCATGAGAATAAATTATTATTACTGTAATATTATAGTACACACCTCCTACTGCAAGTCATTATGAGAGTTTGTTACTTTTTGAGTTTTTTCTCAGAAGAGAATTTTCAAATTTTAAAAAATTGGTTCAAACAGCTCAGATTCCAACCAACCACTGCCCTTTTTTTCCTGTAAATCCTACAAAACTTTCAACGAATTCTTATACAACGCCAAAAGTTGACAGTCCGGCATTAATTTGCCGCCGGCGGCTAAATTTCAAGATTTTCAGTTCCATTTTTTTGTATGAACTGAACTGATTCTGGGATACTGGGTGCAGAGTAAATTTGAGTTTTTTTGCTTTGAAAATCAAAATGTTATGCAGGAAAAGCTCAATTCTGAATGGGCGTGGATCTGTCTCAGTGTACCTTAATGTATATGATCTTACCTCCATTAATGGCTATGCTTATTGGCTTGGCCTTGGAGTCTACCATTCTGGTGTTCAAGGTCAGTTTTCTTAAATATTTTAGTTACAGTTTCAATCTTTCTTTTTCAAAACAAAATCAGATCTAAATTTGAATTATTAATATGAACAGTTTTGGGCATCTTTGGGTAAAAGATTAAAAGCTAGTAAAACCCACTTAAAAGTAATTTTTTGTTTCCAGGATGTATTTGGAATATGTTACTTATTTGAGCAGTAAGCTTATTTCTAACTTCAATGTCAAGTTAAATTTTTTTTCCTTTTTTTTTTCCAAATTATATTGATAGGTAGTGTGTATTGAACATGCTCAACTAGCTTATTGATTTGTAAATAGGAACATCATCCCTTATTTCTTGACTATGTTGCCTATGGAATGTGCCGGACTAGTTTATTGATTGCCTTCTTTAAATAGGTAATTTATGCCTTGTCCCTTGAAAATACAATACTATGTATCGAACATGCCCGACTGCTTTATTGATATGCAGTAGGAACACTATCCATTGTTTCTTGACAATACAATAATATTGCATATTGAACGTGCCCGAAAGTACAATATTGTATATCAAACGTTGCCTACTAGTTTATTAATTTGTTTGATGGGATTTTGTTAGTTCATGGAGTGGAGTATGCATTTGGATCTCATGAGTACCCAACAACTGGGATTTTTGAAGGGGAGCCAAGAAAGTGTGAAGGATTTACATTCAGAAAATCACTTTTGATTGGATGGACAGATATGACTAGAGGGGAAGTGAGGGGAGTAATGGATGAACTTGCAGAAAAATATAAAGGAAATGCATACAATTTGATTTCAAAGAATTGCAACCATTTTTGTAATGATGCTTGCATTAAGCTCACTGGAAATCCTATCCCAAATTGGGTTAATCGGCTTGCTAGAATTGGTAAGCACTAAATCCCCCAATTTTTGAATTTCAATATTTGAAAATCAAGTTGGTGGACTTGAATGGAAAAGAATATTGTCATGTAGCATTATTGGTACTTTACACCAATTTAGGTGACAGTGGGGATACATTACTTCATTGTCCAATGAAATTGATATGTATTCTGATTCATTAAACAATGAAGCATAGAGTCGCCTGGACTAGCGTTGCATAACATTACTCAATGGAAAAACCACTATTCGACTCGAAATCCACTCCAGATATTAGCTCCATTTTCTTGAAAGAGGATTTTTGTGTTAAAGAGCGGTTCAACCTTCACATATATCATATTATATTATGACCAAATATCTTTAATGTACATAACTTTATTATTTGGTTATTGATAGTGTGTGTGTGTTTTTTTTGTATCAATAAAAATTCACTTTATATTTAAATTCTTGGTATATTTATTTATTAACTAATAATTTTTGACTTTTGATTTGATCCGGTTCAACCCTTTAACCATTCGCGGATGCATGAGTCGGGTTTTAAAATATTGATCTTTTTAATGGATGCAAATGATAATTTTTTTGTTCATAATTGAGTTGCACAATTTAAGTTACCTTGTTTTTGTTGCAAAGTACTAAAGTATATTTGCCTATGTCTTCTAGGTTTGTTTTGCAACTGTATAATTCCAGTGAATTTGAATTCAACAAAAGTTGGGAACCTCAAAATGGAAGACAAGGTTTGTGAAGCTGAGAAAAAGAAACTTCGCAGTCGAGGTTCGTCATCGTCTAATTCTTCATCATCATCATCGTGTTCGACAACCAAAGGCAGTCCAAGCAGAAGCTCTTTGCCTCCATCTTCTGCTTTGATTCTTGATTCTATTCAATGATCCAAATCTCGGATTTACAAAGACAGATTTCTGTTCCTTTTAATTTTTTTTTTCCCAGTGATATTATAATGCTAACAGCTTCTTAAGAAGCATAGCAAAATGTGTACATCAGCTTGCTGTTAACAAGAGAACTCTTTACTACAAGTAACCGAAATGAGAGTTCTCAAAATAACAATAGGACAAATTTGTGGGAATCCACGCAAATCTTCGTCATTTGTTCTATTTGAATCATCGTGAAATATACATGAATATAAAATTCAACTAAATTATTTACGATCGTGTAATAGGTTAAAATTGCATCTCAGTAACTATTGACTTACAAACTCAGGAAAGGACAGCGATTATTGAAATCTTTCCCAATTTACTTAATTAGTTAAAATTTTCAACATGTACTGTCTAGTTGTATCTACTAAAACATGCACTGTGTTTATATTCAATCGTTGTCATTTCTACTGGTTACAATATTTTAATACGAGCGTGCATTCATTAATGTCTTTCAATCGCAATAGAAAAGATAACCCAAAAAATAAGAAAGAAACAGAAAAGATAATTATTCTTTAAATCACATCCTTTGACAAAATGGAATCCAGGTAGGTAATATTAGGTATCTTTTGTCAAAACTTCCATCTTTCTCCACCCACACCATGCTTATAGATACTGATATTGATTAAATAAACGTCAAGAATGATCAATTATAGAAGAATAAGCAATAAAAAGGACCCATGGTTGTTAAAAGTAGAAAGATATGCGAATAATATGGCTGCTTTCTGATTAATCAAGGCAAAGATAAGCAATTATTCAAGAATAAGTAATTAATAATTATGCCTTCAATAAAGCACGTCTTTTCTTATATCTACTTTTTGGTCCTTTTTTCTTGATTTACTGACCACTTGACCTGCGTTGTCTCCAAACTTTTCCTCTCTAAAACTTCGATAAGTCCAAAGAATACCTGAAACCGGGACCCCTCCGTACAAATCAATTAGAGCATCAGCGGGACCCACTGTTTGCCACTCATTAAAAATCAGATTGAAACGATCTTTATTCGATTAGCACTAGATTGGTCGCCATAATAAACACGCCATAAGGGGTGTTGGGGAGATATCCTCAGTAAATCAATTTTCATTTTCAATCACATATTTTTTAATAAAATAATATTTTTCATCACATCAATAATTTTTTCTTCTTTGTCAACCACACATTTCCCATCATATCACTATTCAAAAATCAATTCTTCCACCAAAAATCCATACCAAACACACTCTAAATTCTAGCGGTAACAAAATTTGCTTCTAATCAATCCCAGACGAACACTTTAAACATACAGTAAATCAATTCTCATTTTCAACCATACATTCTTCAATAAAATAATATTTTCTATCACATCAATACTTTTTTCTTCTTTTTCAACTACACATTTCCCATCATATCACTATTCAAAAATCAATTCTTCCTCCAAATATTCCTCTCAAATAAGCATCTCTAACCCGACAACTCATGAAGACTGATGCATTTGGCCCACTTTTTAGAAAAAACTAAAAGCTAAAAGTAAATTAATGCCCTGTTTCGAACGAATCTAAATCAAAATCAACATGATTTTTTATTTATTTTTAAAGAATCATTTATTTTTTTGGCTAAAAAATTCTAATTTTCCTTCTACATTTTCACAATCTCCCGTGCCCCCACGCAATATTCATTTCTTTTTCACTTCCGACTTTTAAATTGAATTATTTCTAAATTCTAATATGATTCTTCGTTTTTCTTCAAAGAATCAATTGTTTTGACTATAAATACTTATCCCTCTTCTACATTTCTTGCACTATTCATTTTTATTTCAATTATGACTTAATTTAAATTACATTCGTAAATTCCCAAAAAATAAAAAGTACAAATTGACAGGTCCCAAAAAACAAAAAATAAAAATTGATGGATTGGTGTGGCGTGGCGTGGCGTGGCCAACAATATTGATGGGTCTGATCCTCAAAATTGGAAGCTGGTCTGAGCTTTAGCATATTTTTAGACAGGCTTGTTCAAACCCACCAGCATGGTTGCAAGTCCAGCCGACCCATTTTGACATCCCTAGTTCCCTGCGATTACAACCCTCATAGGCTGGCCCACGCAGGCTGCAGGCCTTCGCACCCCAGCTCGGAATGGCTATTAAGGTGAGCTAGCCCCTGCTTTTCATCCAGGGCGGGCATATTCTGGCACTGGGATTACCACGAGAACTTTGAAAACATAGTAATCATAGGATAGGATAATACATGTTTAAACTCAAGATGTTTGTTATAAACACAGAAGTAAACTGGCAATGAGGCTGTTCTCTTATAAAGAAGCAAAGCAAACATGAAGCACTTTCAGTTTCAGTTTGTAGACGTCTATTTCTCTGCTTAATAAAGATAAAAAGAAAAGCAACGAGTAAACGAAAGCACAAACTATGCCAGGCAGTTTGATTTATGTTCTGTTTCCACAAATGCTGCAAGCAGATCCGGTCGAAATATAAGTGTCAGTGTCACACTTACAGCGTACAAGGATCTATGTGTTAACTTTCGAGAATATGGGTACTTGGTTGTAGTGTCGAATAAGGCAATAGACTGACTTCAATAAATAGTACTCTATTCAAACCTGGTTGTCACTAATGCAATCTACAAAGTTATTGAGGACCAAAGGACACGTGAGGTTAGCGGTGCCAATTTTGCTCGCCGGTTTGAACGGCCCGTGGCTCGGGCTGAGCCCCATTGGGGCGTTGGCCCAAACTACACAGGCCAGCTCGTGTCAAGGACTATTTTCGGCATGTGACAAGCTGGACCTTGAAAAAATAAAAAAATGAATAAAAAATAAAAACCTTTGCAGCCAGCAGCTTTTATCTAAAAAAAAATAACGTAGCTAGCTACCTGCAATTGCAGGCAGCTAGCTGTAAAAAAAATAGTAAAAACAACCAGGCAACATGTAGCTGCCTGCTATCCTGCTTAGAAAAATATATACATATATATATTTACGGCTCAGCTCAACAGGCCAAAGTCGAAAGCTCAGGTTGAGCCTAATTTTTTTGGCCGAGCAAAAGATCGGGCCAAAAAAAAGCTTCAACCATTTTTTTTGGAGTCAAGCCGGACCCTCAGGTTTTGGCTCGTGAGCTGGCTCGGCTCAACTCATTGACACCCGTGAGGTCAGCATCATAATTGCTGAAGTCTGGGAAGCTGATCTGTTACCGAATTATCAAATCAAGAAACTTGCACTCTTTTCTGTCGACTACATAGAGCATGTTGGCCAAAGCCTAAAGTGAAAAAGATGCAATGCAAAGAACGAATTATTGGAGTTCAACTTGTATGGAATGAAATTGACGACAAAATATTCTACAAACAGGGAACTTTCAATATTAAAAACAAGAAACAAAAATTCCTGCCAAAGTTGGGAAAATGTCCAATACAATCTGGAAAACCAGATGCCATATCTTTAACTGCAGCATACATTATTGCAAATTTAATAGGACAATTATAGTATGCTTAGTAAGGTAAATTTGAAACTATTATCAAGTAGTACATACCGAAAACATGCTCTTATAGTATCGAAAATGGGACTATTGTACCTCCTCCAAAAGATAATACGTGAAAAGAGATACCGCATCCTGCAAATGGCACGACCGAAGGTCTTCTGGAACAGGTCCTCGAAACATAGCATCAAAACAGTTGAGCTGAGCCTCACGACTCAAACCCTCACTGCTGTCAGAAAGAAGCAAACTGCAAATCTCTTCTGCCATCTTTGAGTATGCAACTCTGAAACGTAAATGTGAGATACACGGTGACTTACCCATATCCACACAAGGGTCTAAACAACAATGTTTTCTCAACATGGTATGCACTAGTTTTTTGAAATGGAAAATAGATTGAAGGCTTTAAATATAGGAAACATTATATCGATATGGTTATTGAAAACTAAACAATCACAAATCGGAAAGCGGAAAATGCCCTGCACACACACCCATTGCTGCCACCAATCTCAAGCCAAAAGAAGTTTTGCAGGCTTTTTGTAAGTGTTAACTCCACCAGTGTAAAATTGGATCCCTCCAAAATCCATAATCCTCCTACCTCTCTTTTTCTTCATTCCCTTTAAATTTTTCTTTAGGAATTCTTCATTCTCTAGAAGAAATCAAGCACATCATTAAGAGTATATTCTTCATCATCTGAAAACTATAGAGAGATTGACCCAAATCAACATATAGATTCTGCATGGAAGTGTTAATGGCACTTCACAATTAACTTACCTGCACTCCATAATCACGAGTGCAAGAGGCAATTTTGAAGTTCCATATATCCATGATAAAACAATCCTTCTTTTCCAGCATGTAGCAGTGTCATATACATTCTTTCCATGTCACCCTTTCATTTGTTTATTGATAATGAGAAAGTATAACTAACCATTAAAACTATAGTTCCAAAACTCCAAATAGTGGGTTTATGCGAAGTCCATATACTCTTGCATCTAACTTGCATACAAAACACAACTATAAGTTTCAATTTAGGAATATCAGTAGACCCTTAGCTGAGAAAAACATTGGGTAATCAGAGAACTGACTCCGAACTTTCATATTAAGGTAAATGAAAATGGTAGACTAAATGAAAAACAATATTAGGATATGCATTACACTAGTAGTCACCTGTAATTAAAGATGTGATGCCTAAATCAAAGGATGCTGAGAGATGTGTGAACCTTTAAAATGATAATTGTGAGACAATGAAACAGGAATGAAGACTTGAGAAAGAAATAACAAAAGAAAAAATGTGACTAAAAACTAGTAGTTTGATGCTAATTGTTTTAAGGAAAGGATATCTTAGCCAAGCTGTGGGTGTGCATGTGATCATGCTTTCTTGCAAATAAATAAATATCAATACCTTGCATCAACTGATAACTTGCTACTCCAAACTGCCCAAGACTTGTTTAGGCTTCCAATGAAGTCTCTACATGCATCATTTTTGTTCTCAAGAGTCTCCTGTCAAATGGAACGTGTT